CTAAGTCATGTTTTGCAGAGGGGTGAAATACTTATTTCCCTCATTAAAATGCAAATCAATTTCTAACATTTTTGACATGTGTTTTTCTGGATTTTTTTGTTGTTATTCTGTCTCTCACTGTTCAAATAAACCTACCATTAAAATTATAGACTGATCATTTCTTTGTCAGTGGGCAAACATACAAAATCAGCAGGGGATCAAATACTTTTTTCCCTCACTGTATGCTGCCAATGACTGGAACGAACTGCAAAAATCTCTGAAGCTGGAGACTCTTATCTCCGTCACTAACTTTAAGCATCAGTTGTCAGAGCACCTTACCGATCACTGCACCTGTACACAGCCCATCTGAAATTAGCCCACCCAACTACCTCATCCCCATAGTTATTTATTTTGCTAATTTGCACCCCAGTATCTCTATTTGCACATCATCTCTTGCACATCTGTCATTCCAGTGTTAATACTAATTGTAATTATTTTGCACTATGGCCTATTTATTGCCTTACCTCCATAACTTGCTACATTTGCACACACTGTATACAGTGGGGAGAACAAGTATTTGATACACTGCCAATTTTGCAGGTTTTCCTACTTACAAAGCATGTAGAGGTCTGTAATTTTTATCATAGGTACACTTCAACTGTGAGAGTCGAAATCTAAAACAAAAATCCAGAAAATCACATTGTATGATTTTTTAATCATGAATTTACATTTTATTGCATGCCATAAGTATTTGATCACCTACCAACCAGTAAGAATTCCGGCTCTCACAGACCTGTTAGTTTTTCTTTAAGAAGCCCTCCTGTTCTCCACTCATTACCTGTATTAACTGCACCTGTTTGAACTCGTTACCTGTATAAAATACACCTGTCCACACTCTCAATCAAACAGACTCCAACCTCTCCACAATGGCCAAGACCAACGAGCTGTGTAAGGACATCAGGGATAAAATGGTAGACCTGCACAAGGCTGGGATGAGCTACAGGACAATAGGCAAGCAGCTTGGTGAGAAGGCAACAACTGTTGGCGTAATTATTAGAAAATGGAAGAAGTTCAAGATGAAGGTCAATCACCCTCGGTCTGGGGCTCCATGCAAGATCTCACCTCGTGGGGCATCAATGATCATGAGGAAGGTGAGGGATCAGCCCTTAACTACACGGCAGGACCTGGTCAATGACCTGAAGAGAGCTGGGACCACAGTCTCAAAGAAAACCATTAGTAACACACTACGCCGTCATGGATTAAAATCCTGCAGCGCACGCAAGGTCCCCCTGCTCAAGCCAGTGCATGTTCAGGCCCGTCTGAAGTTTGCCAATGACCATCTGGATGATCCAGAGGAGGAATGGGAGAAGGTCATGTGGTCTGATGAGACAAAAATAGAGCTTTTTGGTCTAAACTCCACTCGCCGTGTTTGGAGGAAGAAGAAGGATGAGTACAACCCCAAGAACACCATCCCAACCGTGAAGCATGGAGGTGGAAACATCATTCTTTGGGGATGCTTTTCTGCAAAGGGGACAGGACGACTGCACCGTATTGAGGGGAGGATAGATGGGGCCATGTATCGCGAGATCTTGGCCAACAACCTCCTTCCCTCAGTAAGAGCATTGAAGATGGGTCGTGGCTGGGTCTTCCAGCATGACAACGACCCGAAACACACAGCCAGGGCATTTAAGGAGTGGCTCCGTAAGAAGCATCTCAAGGTCCTGGAGTGGCTTAGCCAGTCTCCAGACCTGAACCCAATAGAAAATCTTTGGAGGGAGCTGAAAGTCCGTATTGCCCAGCGACAGCCCCGAAACCTGAAGGATCTGGAGAAGGTCTGTATGGAGGAGTGGGCCAAAATCCCTGCTGCAGTGTGTGCAAACCTGGTCAAGACCTACAGGAAACGTATGATCTCTGTAATTGCAAACAAAGGTTTCTGTACCAAATATTAAGTTCTGCTTTTCTGATGTATCAAATACTTATGTCATGCAATAAAATGCAAATGAATTACTTAAAAATCATACAATGTGATTTTCTGGATTTTTGTTTTAGATTCCGTCTCTCACGGTTGAAGTGTACCTATGATAAAAATGACAGACCTCTACATGCTTTGTAAGTAGGAAAACCTGCAAAATCGGCAGTGTATCAAATACTTGTTCTCCCCATTGTATAGATTTTGTATTTTTGACTTGTTTTTAAATCGCACTGCTTTGCTTTATCTTGGCCAGGTCTCAGTTGTAAATGAGAACTTGTTCTCAACTGGCTTCTTACCTGGTTAAATAAAGGTGAAATAAAAATAAAATAAAAGGATATCCATATTCATCTCAGTTTAAGCACCAATTTGTAGATTTAAAAATACTCTGATCTTGTAGATTTAGGCACATTTTAGGGATAGGAAAGTATGTTTGAAGAGCCTTTACGTACTAAATATATTGATGAATTAAAAATAGTGGTTTGATTCATCCTGAACGTTGCCATGTTCAAGTTCCATCCATTATATTTGGAAGGTGGAAAAAGTGTACAATAGTGGTTGAACAAGTCTCATAAATCTACCCTAATCATGGTACTGTATGACAAAGGTCCAGTCGTAGTGAACTTTGCTCCAGGTTTAAACTGCTACATGGTCTGAGTTCCATAATGATTCAAATTGGCTACATGTCCCAAATTATTGCACTGTTAGCCTAGGCATATAATTAACACTTAAGCAGGGGGCGGGAAATTAAGTCAAGGTCAGAATACAGCTTATCTGTAGACACCTCCGCCACACCTTCATTTCTTTGATCTACATAACACCCTGAATGAATAGCTGGTAAATAGCAGGCTATTCTCATGCTTAAGTTAAATGTCAGAATAGGCAGAGAAGTGCATAAAAAGGGAATTACGTACCATTTACATGCGCTTAACTCGGGTCGGAATCTCCCTCATGTCTATATGAAAGGGGGTTTCACAGCATAAATAACCACTAGACAGCAGATTTAGGTGTGCTAGGAAAAACTCTGGGTTCAGGGAAACTCAGCTATTGATGAATAGAAAAGCAAGCTCTGTAACCAAATATGCTGTGCAAAACCATTGGTAATCTGACTACCTAGTATTGTCAAATGTTTGTTTTATCATAAACATTAATATTCATGTGTAAAGCTGATGGAAGTACCTTCACAGCAAATCCTTATCAGGGCTTGTTTATGAAGTTTAGGTAACTTACAAAATGCTAACTTAAACACCAATATAATCTGCCAGTCGTCTTCGGTGGCCTACAGAACATATAATTAAGAACTTCAGGGATCACGAAGCTTAACGACTCACCAAAGTGTGGCTCTAAAAAGTGTCAAGTTGTCTGACTCATAACAGTGTCTCAAAACATGTTTTCCCCAGATTCATGCTTGAGAGAATCCTCAACTAAAATGTATATACAGTGAGGGAAAAAAGTATTTGATCCCCTGCTGATTTTGTACGTTTACCCACTGACAAAGAAATGATCAGTCTATAATTTTAATGGTATGTTTATTTGAACAGTGAGAGACAGAATAACAACAAAAATCCAGAAAAACACATATCAAAAATTTTATAAATTGATTTGCATTTTAATGAGGGAAATAAGTATTTGACCCCCTCTCAATCAGAAAGATTTCTGGCTCCCAGGTGTCTTTTATACAGGTAACGAGCTGAGATTAGGAGCACACTCTTAAAGGGAGTGCTCCTAATCTCAGCTTGTTACCTGTATAAAAGACACCTGTCCACAGAAGCAATCAATCAATCAGATTCCAAACTCTCCACCATGGCCAAGACCAAAGAGCCCTCCAAGGATGTCAGGGACAAGATTGTAGACCTACACAAGGCTGGAATGGGCTACAAGACCATCGCCAAGCAGCTTGGTGAGAAGGTGACAACAGTTGGTGCGATTATTCGCAAATGATAGAAACACAAAATAACTGTCAATCTCCCTCGGCCTGGGGCTCCATGCAAGATCTCACCTCGTGGAGTTGCAATGATCATGAGAACGGTGAGGAATCAGCCCATAACTACATGGGAGGATCTTGTCAATGATCTCAAGGCAGCTGGGACCATAGTCACCAAGAAAACAATTGGTAACACACTACGCCTTGAAGGACTGAAATCCTGCAGTGCCCGCAAGGTCCCCCTGCTCAAGAAAGCACATATACAGGCCCGTCTGAAGTTTGCCAATGAACATCTGAATGATTCAGAGGAGAACTGGGTGAAAGTGTTGTGGTCAGATGAGACCAAAATGGAGCTCTTTGGCATCAACTCAACGTGTTTGGAGGAGGAGGAATGCTGCCTATGACCAAGAACACCATCCCCTCCGTCAAACATCGAGGTGGAAACATTATGCTTTGGGGGTGTTTTTCTGCTAAGGGGACAGGACAACTTCACTGCATCAAAGGGACGATGGACGGGGCCATGTACCGTCAAATCTTGGGTGAAAACCTCCTTCCCTCAGCCAGGGCATTGAAAATGGGTCGTGGATGGGTATTCCAGCATGACAATGACCCAAAACACACAGCCAAGGCAACAAAGGAGTGGCTCAAGAAGAAGCACATTAAGGTCCTGGAGTGGCCTAACCAGTCTCCAGACCTTAATCCCATAGAAAATCTGTGGAGGAGGCTGAAGGTTCGTGTTGCCAAACGTCAGGCTCGAAACCTTAATGACTTGGAGAAGATCTGCAAAGAGGAGTGGGACAGAATCCCTCCTGAGATGTGTGCAAACCTGGTGGCCAACTACAAGAAACATCTGACCTCTGTGATTGCCAACAAGGGTTTTGCCACCAAGTACTAAGTCTTGTTTTGCAGAGGGCTCAAATACTTATTTCCCTCATTAAAATGCAAATCAATTTATAACATTTTTGACATGCGTTTTTCTGGATTTCTGTTGTTATTCTGTGTCTCACTGTTCAAATAAACCTACCATTAAAATTATAGACTGATCATGTCTTTGTCAGTGGGCAAATGTACAAAATCAGCAGGGGATCAAATACTCCCCCCCCCCCCCCCCCCACTGTAGTTATAGAGCTCAGTGATGAGGCATAGGAAGAAGTATGCTTAGCAACAGTATTCAATGGACATCTTTATTCCATGTAAAACAGGACACGTCACAAATTGGATTTTTCGAATGCACTCACAAATACTAACACTGACAGTGTCTCTGTTCCACAGGTTGGGGACACTAATGACCATGATGGCTGTGGGACTGGGGTGAAGCACTTATCTACGGTCAGTGTGCCGCTGTTCCCCTCCTAATGGTTATAGTTAGGATGCGAGGGGAGTACTGATCCTAGATCTTTGCCTATGTGCAACAGAGACCTTCTCTCACCCTTTGCATTCCACGTAGTCCATCGTTCTCAAGGAACTCCCAGGAGCAGCATATGTCTAGTGTTTAAACAGAAGGGTTTGAGGCTATAGTAACAGTGCATTTCAGATTTAATCTGCCACCACTACATTCATTAACAGGGTCAAACTCCAAATTACAAAAGCTTTGCTCATATAGTACACTCGGCATAAAACATATTACATGACTGCAATAACGTTGTATCAGTTGTTCATACTCCTTGGCTGCTAGCCCCTTGAATGTCAGTAGTGTGTAGAACGTTGTGCCAGGGAGAGAACACCACATTTACGAGCGTACATTCCGTTTAGCGCATGGTTGGCATGGTAACGGCTGCAACCTTAGTCGTGGCGTCCTCAGCCTTCCACTGTGATGTCACCGTCTTGATCTGAGTGTAGAACTGGATGCCCTGTAGCAAGAACACAGAAGAGACTGTCAACCATAGAAATCTTCCACCTCATATATAGTTGTCTGAAAAAACGTAGGATCAATATGGTCGTATAATAAAATCGGTGGGTGAGAAACGTTTTGTGGGCTTGTGCTGGTCGTTGCCGGTGTTGAGCTAACCTGTTTGCCGTAGAAGTTGGTGTCCCCCCTGAAGGAACCTCTGGAGCCGGTAAAGGAGAACATGGGCAGGGGGACGGGTATGGGCACGTTCACGCCAATCTGACAGACACACAGATCACATTATGAATCATGAGCTAAACGTCGACATAGAAATTACAGCTTGAAGGATCCATGAAAAAGCCTTGTGCATTGTTGCAAAATCATGCTGTGAACAATAGATGGTTGTCCCTCAGAATCTTAAATCCCAGTAAAAGCAGATTAAACCCCCACTGAGTCACCACAAGCTATGAATCACCCATCTATCAGGAAATTAAGTCATCCAATGATCAATGGGAAACCACTTGCAATACTTGACATCAAATCACACAAGTCTTACTTCCCTAAGCACCTACTGGAATTCTCTGAACGTTGAACTATGGCTCACCTGTCCAACATCCACTTCGTGTGTGTACTTGCGGGCGGTAGCGCCGTTGGTAGTGAAGATGGCGGTTCCATTGCCATACTGGTTGTTGTTGACCAGGGAGATTGCATCGTCCAGAGTGTCTGCCTCCAGAACCACCAGCACCGGCCCAAAGATCTCCTCCGTGTAGCACTTCATCGCCGGCTGGGGTGAGGAGGAGTGGAAAAGCATGAGATGAAACTCCCTGTCAATGTTCTACAAGATATTATGTAAAGAATAGAGAATGAGTGGACTATCATGTATTACTATTGCAGGCCTGCCAAATGAGTTGAAGGCAAATCAGCTTTGAAAGGAAAGATCCAATATAATAAGTGAAGTGGTATGACAATGGTTATGGAAGTGGATACACAGAACTGTACGAGTTGAAGATTCACACCCGAAAACCTGAAGGATAGTGAACATGAGAAAAAGTGTAAAGTTGCCATGGGAACGTACACATGCCAAAACTTACAGCAGAACACAGTCAGGTTGACAAAGGCACTTTGTGTTATCTCCTCTCCATATGGACAAGATTACACAACCATCAATGTGTCTAATTATTTATCAGGCATGTTCTCCATATAGCAGACAGACATCACTGGTCAAGTCAGGCTTAACTCCAGCCAGACATTATTAACCTACAAGCAGGGGTTGAACCCGTTTCAGGGAACTGAACCAAAAATGAAAAAGAAGAACATTGAGGAACAGAAATGGATCTCTAATGTTCCGGAACAGAACCGTTATTTTAATGTTATTTATTGTTCCATAAATATTTCTAATGTGTAGTGATAGACATATTTCAGTGATGTTACGATGCTAGTTATAGCCTAAACACATTCCAATTCATGACATGATGCCCAGCGCTTCAAGCATGCCCCCTCCATGTCCACTCCTCTTGCTCTCCCTACCAGTAAAATTGGTGGAGTAAATGAATGCGCTAAATGTAAAAACGATCTTGATTTCACAATGTAAAAAATAAAAAAAACATGAACTGTTAGTTTTCTGGGGTTTGAACCGGTTCAGAACTTTATGCTTGTCGGAACAAAATAAAATAGGGGTTCTGCTCAGAACAGAACAGTTGGAAAATAAATTAATGTGGTTCCAACCCCTGCCCACAAGAGGGGGCTTTAGTTAGCTAGTACTGCAGGACAAGGGTTAAATACTCCTATGCTACTGTAACAGTGAGTTACAACAGAGCTACTGCAGGTATGTCGGAAGTTTGTTAATGTTTAGCTCCTTTATGTTAAAGTGTCATTTCCACTGTACCAAGGTTCAGCGTTGTTGTGAAATACTCCAGTGATAAAAAAAAAAGAAGACCAATTATAAACTGGGTGGTTCAAGCCCTCAATGCTGATTGGCTGAAAGCTGTGGTATATCAGACCGTGTACCACGGGTATGACAAAACATGTATTTTGTCTGTTCTAATTACGTTGGTAATTATAATAGTTCATAATAGCAATAAGGCACCTTGGGGGTTTGTAGTATATACCCAATATACCACGGCTAAGGGCTGTATCCAGGCACTCCGCGTTGTGCCTTGGTTGAGAACAGCCCTTAGCCGTGCTATATTGGGTATATACTACAAACCCCCAAGGTGCCTTATTGCTTAAGTATAGAGGTGCGGTGGTTCACCAAAAGTTACATGATGTAATGTAATAATGTAACCTGAATACTTGTAGATGAGGAAACCTTGGCTTTAGCTCAGCTACTGACAGTTAATCAGTCAGCTGACCCAGGTTCAAAGCCAGGTGGGTTCCATAGACCCCACCCCCCTTACTGTAACGTTGCTGATGATGGTGGGTCCTACGAAGTTTCCGTTCTCATATCCTTTGACGTGGACATTGCGTCCATCCAGCAGCAGCGTAGCTCCCTCGTCCACGCCACTCTGGATCAACATCTCAACACGGGCCCTGGCCTCAGGGGAGATCAGTGGACCCACGTCAGCACCTGGCTGGTCACCTAGATACACCCACACAGAGGAAGAAAACATGGAATTAGAATTCATAGGATGGACATTCCAATTCTGAGCAATATTGCACGATACGGTATGTGGACTGGTGCTGGCGGTCATATTAGATGTACTATTTCAAATGTTTGATTAACTAAGGTATTTTTTCACATGGGAAAAAAAAAAACTGGAGATGTGCAAGAAAAAAACTAGCAAGTCATAAATTCACACAGGGAGTATTGAGTCTTTTAGGTAAAAGGGTGAGGTACCTGCATTGACGCGCAGGGCTTTGGAGCGCTCCACCAGCTCTGGGAGCCAATCACGAGCCTCGCCTACCAGAATGGCAGTTGAGAGAGCCATACAACGCTGTCCTGCTGCGCCGAAGGCCGCGCCCACCAGCTGGTTCAGCGTGTTCTCCTTGTTGGCGTCAGGCATCACCACACCGTGGTTCTTAGCTCCCTACAAGCCAGAACACACAGGTTGTTACTTTTACTGCAATACATTTTAGGAATGTGCAAAGACATACAGTAGTCCTAAACAATAAGTATCTCAAGAAAAAAACTCAAGGATCTACAGCCATCTACTGGCTCAGCCTTGATAATGAAGTATAACTATTCATCTTGCAGTATGGTTAAGTACACGGTAAACTATTTAAAAGTTGCAATATGTAACTTTTTGGGTGACCAGACCAAGTTCACATAGAAAAGTGAGTTATAGATCTGTCATTCTCATTGAAAGAATGTTTAAGTGGCATGTCTGTTCTATGTGCGCTATTTCTATGCTTCCCATTCCGAAGTTTTGTTTTTGCGTCTTTCGGTTTTGAACACTACAAAACAATTGAAAATACAATATTTTTGGATATTGAAAATATATTTCACATCGGTTAAGATGGTAGAATGATTGTCTACACACTTGTTTTGTCACAAACTGAAATTAGGTGAACTATTCAAATTTTAGCAACTGGGAAATGGCGGAGCGATTTCTGCATATTGCACTTTTAAGGCAGACATGTTTCCCTAAATGCGTAAGGGATTCTTCAGTCATTTAATCCCCAATTGACCCCATTCATAGAACAGTGGTTGGTCATCATATTTACCATGTTGGACTGCACTCTCTTGCCGTTCTTGGATCCTCTCTCGTAGATGTACTCTCCTGCCTGGTTGGAGCCCACAAAGCTGATGGCCTTGATGGCAGGGTGGTCACAGATGAAGTTCACAGCTACAGAAAGATGTCAAAGGTCATATAATTTCACTCAGCATCATTATTTACATGGCACTGTAAGGGCACAAGATGGCGGTGTAATCCCCTTGGTGTTTCTTATATGGACTCCTCTCCCCTAACGCACTTAAATACATGTACCTACACACATTATGCTAAGCGTTTAACATAATGCTTGAGGTATATCGGTAGTCTTTGAATGGTCCTGTAGACACAGCACTAACTAACACACGATCAGCATAGCGTGCTTCTTTGCATCCTGTGAAACAGGACACACATAGCATGTTTTATAAAGACTAATAAACACACACTGCCCCCTCTCACCAGCATGCTGTCCGTGGATTATGTTCAGGGTCCCGTCGGGCAACCCTGCATCCTGCAGCAGCTTGGCCAGCAGCATGGTGCACCCTGGGACGCGCTCAGAGGGTTTCATCAGGTATGTGTTGCCACACACCATGCCCATGGGGAACATCCACAGAGGGATCATGGCAGGGAAGTTGAAGGGGGCGATGCCGGCACACACCCCGATGGGCATGCGGTAGGTGTAGATATCCATGTCTTTGGTGACAGAGGGCAGAGTCTCCCCCATCATCAGGGAGGTGATGCTGCAGGCGTGCTCTGCCACCTCTAGGGGGCAGAGAGGAGCAGAGAGACTGTGAGCAAAACCAGGGAGTAGAAGGTCAAACAGTACATGTGGAGGTAGAGATCAGAGTAAGAGTGAAAGATACAAGTGGTGGGCAGAGGGTCAAATACATGTGGTGCTAAAGGAGATCAAGAGAAACAGAGACCCCAATACACACTACAGAGAACTAAAATAAGACTTTTTTTATTGGACAAGTTCTTGTAGTAGCCATCTCTCCCTGTTTCAAATAAACATTTTCTCCCGTTTCCCATGCCTACTGAAGGTGACTGTCTACTCACGCAGTCCTCTGAAAACGTCTCCCTCCGCGTCGGCTAGAGTCTTGCCTTGCTCCAGGGTGATCAGCCTGGCCAACTCTTTCTGTAAACATAGAAGAAAATAAATAAATTAGCCAATCATCTTTGATAAAACATTGTTTTAGGACCCGGCTATTGCTAAGACATGTTTGCAGCTATTCTGCGGAACACGGTTCACAATACAGTTCAAAAGGCATTCAATTGATCACACTGAACTAAATATTTGGGAACCACTCCTATGGATGCCCGATTTCAGACCAGGGGCATTCCTTACTATGTTTTCCTTGATGAGCTGCTGGTATCGGAGGAAGATCTGCTGGCGGGTGAGGATGGAAGTCTCGGACCAGGAGGCGTAGGACCTGGAGCAGGAGTCTACTGCAGCCAGCATCTCCGTCTGGGTGGCTTTGGGCACACGACCCACCACCTCGTTAGTGGCCTGAGGTAGGGAGAGAAGAGGGAAAAGAGAACCAGGTCATTGTGAACGGAGACCAACTACATCTGGGGCCTGTCCAGGAGGGTGTAACATTTAAGAAACTTTAGATAATTTTTTTTATTTTGTACAGGTATGAGTGTCATGACATGTAGAATTGGGAGTTGAGTCAGATTGCATTTCTAAATGTTCTATTTGTGGGGGCCAGCCGGATGCCTGACGACGAACAAGATCGACAACCACCACCTCCTCATATTTTTGCTTAGAATCATAATATGATTAGCCTGTTTAATTGCTTACACAACTTAAAAACGGCCTGAAGTAAAGGTCTACAAGTGCTTTCAATCTATATGCCTCAGGAACTGACAATCCAATCTTGAACTTACTGAACTACTGAATTTTCACTCTGTACCCAAAGTAGCAGATGTCTCACTGTTCAATTGAAAGTTGTATCAGGTTTACATCAACCAACATCTGTAATGATGCATATACGTAATTCAGAATGACTATATAAATGTTCAGACTCCGAAGGAGAATGTGCCTTTTGAGCCATGAGCTACCACGATGCTATTGCCTTGGTTTTGGTTTTTAGCCACTTGCCTTTTCACCATCAGGCCTTTTGCATTTTCACATGACCACAAAGCTCTTTATTCAAACTTTTACTTTGACCGGATCCTGGAATTCAAGTCTCCTCTTTTACTTTTTCAAAGCCAACTTGCTACTGCAAAATCACAGCTTACATATTTATAATGCTTCACCTCACTGAATACACCCCTGAAATTTCCCTTCTGAGGTAAACCACATGACAGTCCACAGTAGCGCCTCTACTGTAGCTGAACTTTAAATATGAATGGCCAGTACAAAGGATACTCCAGTGCAGGCTGACTACATTTTATCTGACAGAGAATGTGGCATTGGAGGCCAACTACAGCTGGCTCTGCTACATATTAAATCACTATCAGCATTTTTTGTTGTTGACTTTTCTGCCTTCCGCTATGAGAATATTTACCTAAGGTTTTTATTTTTAGGCTAATATTTAAAAGTGCAATATGCAGAAACCGTGTCACAATTTCCTGGATGCTAAAATTCACAGTTAGCCTAATTTCCGTTTGTGAGACAAGCAATTATAGCATAGAGAATCATATTACCATCTAAACCACTGAAATATATTTTCCATTACCAAAAAATGTTGTATTTTCAGTTGTTTGAAGCTGGTGTACAAAACCGAAAGAAAGACGCAAAAACGAAATTTAAGAACGGGAAGCATAGAAATAGCGCACATAGAACAGATCTACCGCTTCTTAGAATTGCTTTCAATTAGAATGACAGATCTATAACTCACATTTCTATATGAATTTGGACAGGTCACCCAAAAAGTTACATATTGCAGCTTTAAAATTAAATGATTTGTAGGTAAGAGAGTGATGGTCTTCTGGGTAGTTGGTTGTTTCTGCATTCAACAGCAGTATACAGTGCCTTCAGAAAGTAGTCACACCCCTTGACCAGTCACTACAAAGATACAGGTATCCTTCCTAACTCTGTTGCCGAAGAGGAAGAAAACCGCTCAAGGATTTCACCATGAGGCCAATGGTGACTTTAAAAACAGTTAGACAGGGCATAAACATTTACTTTTTGGTCCAATCTACCAGCCACAAATTTACCAGGCAAAATATTTTGGGGCCTCTAAAATTACAGCATCGAAACAGATGAACATACTTGGTATTGTTGCTAAAACAATAAAATGTATTAATTACTAGTAAGAAATAACTTGTGGTATATTGTTTAATTACATTTTGTAGTGACCTGAGTCTTTTAACCAAAATACAGTATCACAGATTATACAAAAATGTTCACCTGCCCCTTTAAGGGCGGGAGGCTACCGTAATAGTGTGAGATTGAGTCTGACTAGTAGAAGCGGTCTTCTCTTCCCTAGCAGTTGAAACTCAAACATAGAAAAACAACCTAGCTTGTGAACAAAACAATGTACAGTGGCTTGCAAAATTATTCACCCCCCTTTGCATTTTTCCTATTTTGTTGCCTTACAACCTGGAATTCAAATGGATTTTTTGGGGGTTTGTATCATTTGATTTACACAACATGCCTACCACTTTGAAGATGCTAAATATTTTTTTCTGTGAAACAAACAACAAATAAGACCAAAAAAACAATTGTTATGCACGCTCAAGTTTTCACCCCCCCAAAGTCAATACTTTGTAGAGCCACGTTTTGCAGCAATTACAGCTGCAAGTCTCTTGGGGTATGTCTCTATAAGCTTGGCACATCTAGCCACTGGGATTTTTGCCCATTCTTCAAGGCAAAACTGCTCCAGCTCCTTCAAGATGGGTTCCGCTAGTGTACAGCAATCTTTAAGTCATACCACAGACTCAATGGGATTGAGGTCTGGGCTTTGACTAGGCCATTCCAAGACATTTAAATGTTTCCCCTTAAACCACTCGAGTGTTGCTTTAGCAGGATGCTTAGGGTCATTGTCCTGCTGGAAGGTGAACCTCCGTCCCAGTCTCAAATCTCTGGAAGACTGAAAACAGGTTTCCCTCAAGAATTTCCCTGTATTTAGCGCCATCCATCATTCCTTCAATTCTGACCCTGCCGATGAAAAACATCCCCACAGCATGATGCTGCCACCAGCATGCTTCACTGTGGGGATGGTGTTCTCGGGGTGATGAGAGGTGTTTGCGCCAGACATAGCGTTTTCCTTGATGGCCAAAAAGCTCAATTTCTCTCATCTGACCAGAGTACCTTCTTCCATATGTTTGGAGAATCTCCCAAATGCCTTTTGGCGAACACCAAAAGTGCCCCTTGCTTAGTGGTGTTGCAGACTGGGGCCTTTCAGAACACACACTCTGCTCAAAAAAATAAAGGGAACACTTAAACAACACAATGTAACTCCAAGTCAATCACATTTCTGTGAAATCAAACTGTCCACTTAGGAAGCAACACTAATTGACAATACATTTCACATGCTGTTGTGCAAATGGAAGACAACAGGTGGAAATTATAGGCACTTAGCAAGACACCCCCCAATAAAGGACTGGTTTTGCAGGTGGTGACCACAGACCACTTCTCAGTTCCTATGCTTCCTGGCTGATGTTTTGGTCACTTTTGAATGCTGGCGGTGCTTTCACTCTAGTGGTAGCATGAGACGGAGTCTACAACCCACACAAGTGGCTCAGGTAGTGCAGCTCATCCAGGATGGCACATCAATGCGAGCTGTGGCAAGAAGGTTTGCTGTGTCTGTCAGCGTAGTGTCCAGAGCATGGAGGCGCTACCAGGAGACAGGCCAGTACATCAGGAGACGTGGAGGAGGCCGTAGGAGGGCAACAACCCAGCAGCAGGACTGCTACCTCTGCCTTTGTGCAAGGAGGAGCACTGCCAGAGCCCTGCAAAATGACCTCCAGTAGGCCACAAATGTGCATGCGTCTGCTCAAATGGTCAGAAACAGACTCCATGAGGGTGGTATGAGGGCCCGACGTCCACAGGTGGGGGTTGTGCTTACAGCCCAACACTGTGCAGGACGTTTGGCATTTGCCAGAGAACACCAAGATTGGCAAATTCCCCACTGGCGCCCTGTGCTCTTCACAGATGAAAGCAGGTTCACACTGAGCATGTGACAGAGTCTGGAGACGCCGTGGAGAACGTTCTGCTGCCTGCAACATCCTCCAGCATGACCGGTTTGGTGGTGGGTCAGTCATGGTGTGGGGTGGCATTTCTTTGGGGGGCCGCACAGCCCTCCATGTGCTCGCCAGAGGTAGCCTGACTGCCATTAGGTACCGAGATGAGATCCTCAGACCCCTTGTGAGACCATATGCTGGTGCGGTTGGCTCTGGGTTCCTCCTAATGCAAGACAATGCTAGACCTCATGTGGCTGGAGTGCGTCAGCAGTTCCTGCAAGAGGAAGGCATTGATGCTATGGACTGGCCTGCCCGTTCCCCAGACCTGAATCCAATTGAGCACATCTGGGACATCATGTCTCGCTCCATCCACCAACGCCACATTGCACCACAGACTGTCCAGGAGTTGGCGGATGCTTTAGTCCAGGTCTGGGAGGAGATCCCTCAGGAGACCATCCGCCACCTCATCAGGAGCATGCCCAGGCGTTGTAGGGAGGTCATATAGGCACGTGGAGGCCACACACACTACTGAGCCTCATTTTGACTTGTTTTAAGGACATTACATCAAAGTTGGATCAGCCTGTAGTGTGGTTTTCCACTTTAATTTTGAGGGTGACTCCAAATCCAGACCTCCATGGGTTAATACATTTGATTTCCATTGATAATTTGTGTGTGATTGTTGTCAGCACATTCAACTATGTAAAGAAAAAAGTATTTAATAAGATTATTTCATTCAGATCTAGGATGTGTTATTTTAGTGTTCCCTTTATTTTTTTGAGCAGTAATATATATATATATATATATATATATACATATATACACACACACACACACACACACACATACACATACACACACACAGTGGGGAGAACAAGTATTTGATACACTGCCGATTTTGCAGGTTTTCCTACTTACAAAAGCATGTAGAGGTCTGTAATTTGTATTATAGGTACACTTCAACTGTGAGAGACGGAATCTAAAACAAAAATCCAGAAAATCACATTGTATGATTTTTAAGTATTTAATTTGCGTGTTGTTATTCACAAATGCGAGTGAAATGCTCACACTGTGGAGCCCTGACCACCCGCCAACGTGGCTGGTGAAATAGACATCTTAACTGCCAATGCTAGAATCTATCCGCATTTGGCAGGTGTTCATTTTAGGCCCTGGTTACAGAGTTTAATGACTGTGATAGGAGAAAACTGAGGATGATCAACAACATTGTAGTTACTTCACAATACTAACCTAATTGACAGAGTGAAAAGGAAGCCTGTAGAGAATAAAAAAACATGCCAAAATATGCATCCTGTTTGCAACAAGGCACTAAAGTAATACTGCAAAAAAAATTGTGGCCAAGCAATTCACTTTTTGTCATGAATACAAAGTATGTGTTGTATTGGATTTGCCCCAAACATTACTGAGTACCACACTCCATATTTTCAAGCATAGTGGTGACTGCATCATGTTATGGGTATGTTTGTAATCGTTAAGGACTGGGGAGTTTCAGGAAAAAAAAAAAAAAGAAAGAAACGTAGCTAAGGGCAAAATTCCCAAGAAAAACCTGCTTCAGTCTGCTTTCCACCAGACACTGGGAGATAAATTCACCTTTCAGCAGGACAATACCCTATAACACAAGGCCAAATCTACACTAGAGTTGTGTACCAAGACCGTGAATGTTCCTGAGTGGTGTGAGTTACAGTTTTGTCTTAAATCTGCTTGAAAATCTATGACAAGACCTGAAAATGGTTGTCCAGCAATATCAACCACCAATTTGCCAGAGCTAGAATACTTTTTAAAATAATAAATGGGCAAAATTTGCACAATCCAGGTGTGGAAAGCTTTTAGAGACTCACAGCTGTAGTTGCTTCCAAAGGTGATTCTAACATGTATTGATTCAGGGGGTTGAATACTTATCTAATCAAGATTAGTGTAGTATTTTTTTTATGATAGAATTGTTCTTCCATTGAGAGTATTGTGTAAATCATTGACAACAATTAAATCCATTTGAATCCCACTTTGTAACAACAAAATGTGGAAAAAGTCAAGGGGTGCGAATACTTTCCGAAGGCACTGTATTGATGCCTTGCCAAAAGCAAGAAAATGACAAGTGGATGTAGCTCAGTTGGTAGAGCATGGCGTTTGCAACGCCAGGGTTGTGGGTTCGATTCCCAAGGGGGGCCAGTAAGAAAAATAAACTAACTGTAAGTCGCTCTGGATAAGAGCGTCTGCTAAATGACTAAAATGTAAAAATGTAAGTTTACATGAAGTAGATGCAGACAGGCCCGAGTTAGTGAATGTGAGTGCATAAACATGTCAAGGTTAAATTGAACTGGCAATGAAGAATAGGCTCCCATTTCTACACTTTGCAAATCATACATATTAAATGACACCCTAAAGAGTTCTTAATCTGCAATTTCCGACCGGTTTATACATTGCTTTTGGGGGTTTGTATGAACTCCTGTTGTGATGTGTGAGTGTGTGTGTGTGTGTGTCCATGTGGTAATACTTACAGGGTTGTGAATGTCCAGCCATTCTGAGGTGTTTGACTCAACAAACTTGCCGTCAATTAACAACTTGGTGGTGGGCTGCAAGGTTACAAAAGCACAGGGGGACAATGGTCATCCACCATATCTGTGCATGTCTAGATTGTATGAGCATGTATTCTAATACAAGTCTTCTGTAGTTACACATACAACCACTCATAAATGTAGTTATGTTTACATGACGTTAACTCACCACTGATGACGAATAACAAATGCGACCCATCTTAAGGGGTGCCTTTAAAAGAAAAAACACATGAGGATCACTTTTCAATGTGAAGTTTCCATTGGCTAAGATCCAAAAGCCTAAACTTCTGCAAGCCAACTAGCTAAGCTAACTAACTATGTAGCATTGTAGCTAACTAGTTGACCTCGCGAGTTAACGTTAACTCGTCCAATTGCATGCTACAGAAAATAGCTATATGTTGTAATGCCAAGGGGGGAAATAATTATAAGTGCATGCTTCGACATCGAAAAGTGTGGCGACCGCTAGCGATCTAGCTAACGTGCCATTCTAGCAAGATAGCTAGCTAGCCACTCAAGTTTCAAACAAACAATGCATTTAGAAAAGCTGCACGAGGAATGTGGTTTACCTTTTTTCTCCATAACGATCTTGCTAGAATCCCTGCCATGGTTGAAGCGACTGTGATTGCTTTTAGCCCAATATACGGACACCCCAGCTGGTGAGACCCAAAATATAGACACCTCTATCCACTAGAAAGGGTTAGCTGACTAGCAGTCACACAATCATGGCGTCAAACAGGCTGAGGACGTAGAAAGAGCAAACGCTGCACCTTTTATCTGATCTTTCACTGGAGACAGCGAAGTTGAGCCACATTGACGAGTGCAGCAGATGCTTTAACAGTCTGTGAAATGGGTTTTCTTGATTGCGGTGAAGAGGACCCAACCTGGGCGGGACAAAAGCGTGGAAGAAAACCAATCAGTTGGCGAAAACGAAATAACTCCCCAAATTGTATGAAGCGCATTGGATGGCCTTTAATGATAGGGACCAATCGTCGCTGACACGAAGTTAGTGCTCTGTTACATGTCTTTCATTGGTCCCAATTAGAGTCCATCATTCTACCTTACACAACTTTTTTTCTTATCCAACTGAGCGAAAAATAAACTCTATCATGGTGCACCCGAGAACAAGGGTATTTTTTTCGGACAAGGTAGAAAAACAAACAAAAAACAACAACATTATAATATAAATAGAATAGAGCATATTCAATGAGTCACTAAATTACTTTATTCCTGATTCCACTTTCTATAATGTGACAGACACGTTTTATGTTGACCTTGGTCTGAGTTTAATTGCTATAAATAAATTACATCAGGATACATTTGAAAGTATTTTGTTGCTTACCTAACATGTTAAATGTCTGCGCGAACAAAGGAATATGTCCCAATGGAACAATGAGATACATTAGTACCTTTCCCGACAGGTGGCAGTTTCTATGGGAACAGACACACAGGCAAGATGGCGTTCCTTCACTGGAGTTGCCAGGACGTGGCAAAATGGATAAGATCCTTAGGATATCCACATTATACAGTGAGTAAGCTAGTATCATATATTAAGTTAACAACTTAGTAACTTAGTTACTAATTTCTTCACAATGCCAAGTAACTTTCCAGTTTTATTTTATCTAGCCTAACATCAGAGTAACTTTATAATCATGTGGCTTAGACAGAAGCAGTCTAGGCGTAGGCTACTTTGGTGATAGACAGACACTTATTCAACAACTCTGTCTTTATCCACCCAGGCCTGTTTCATTGAGAACATCATCACAGGTAAAAAGCTGATTTATGTAAATTGCCGCTATCTGCCAAGATTAGGAATCACAGACTTTGAGGATATGAAGGTAAGGAGATGGTGCTACGAAGCTATCAAATTCTAAGCTTTTATTTGACTCTTACTTTTAATTTCAATAGAGTTATTTTATTAAAAAGTCTGAATGGAAAGTAGAAATACGCTAGACTCCAGTAATCTCTGCACTAAAATGTCCTGGGAGCGCCAACATGAATGTGTGCAGGATTGTTCCAACCCAAATAAGAAAACATTGGGCAATCTTCCCATCTCAGTTGTAGGCTAATTATTCATGATGGGCAGCACAACATGCTATATCATACACAGCCAAATACAGAAAATCAGATGCAGCACAGATAATAATTCATATTTCATAGGCCAACTCACCAGGTGATAGCAGCTCAACTGGTCCAGGGTTTATATGTCTAATGTGCATGGTGATGCTCTCATTTATAGCCTATTATTAATGCTTGTGGGAGTTAGGGTTATCAGCCCTGAACACCCCTGTAATTAGGAGTGGGCAACGAACTGGATATTGCAGATAGAAATACTATGAACAGAGCTGCCATTTCTTCCTCACTCTTAGATTCCAAAAGGGTTCTTCGGCTGTCCCAATAGGATAACCCTTTTGGGTTCCATGTAGAACCCTTTTGGGTTCAATGTAGAACCCTCATTGGAAAGGGTTCTACCTGGAACCCAACAGGGTTCCACCTGGAACCAAAAGGGTTCTACCTATAACCAAAATCAAATCAAATCAAATCAAAAAAAGGGTTGTTCAAATGGTTTTCCTATGGGGACAGCCGAAGAACCCTTTTAGGTTCTAGATAGCACCTTTTTTTCTAAGAGTGTATACATTTCAGAGGGGCATGTCTATTCTAAAATGCAATACATTTCTATCTGAACGTTCTACAACGTACCCTACTGAATGTGACACATATTTTATTATAAACTGGGTGGTTCGAGCCCTGAATGCTGATTGGCTGACAGCTAGAATGGTCCCACCTGATCTTGCCTTCTCCAGACTGCCTTCCATTTTTCAAGACATTTATTTTCATTGTTAGAGTAGCCACTTGAGTAATCTGTGATAAATATGTTATTATAAACTGGGTGGTTCGAGCCCTGAATGCTGATTGGCTGAAAGCCGTGGTATATCAGACCATATGAAAAATAAAAGGAGAGTCACACATTCTAGGAGCTCAGACGCAATACCGTATACCACGGGTATGACAAAACATTTATTTTTACTGCTCTAATTACGTTGGTAACCAGTTTATAATAGCAATAAGGCACCTCTGGGTTTGTGGTATATGGCCAATATACCATAGCTAAGGGCTGTATCCAGGCACTCCGCTTTGCGTTGTGCATAAGAACAGCCCTTAGCCGTGGTATAATCGCCGTATACCACACCCCCTCGTGCATTATTGCTTAAGTAACCTACGGTTTGACTCAGCTCCTCCTCGCTGTGTTGTGCCCACCTGTAGGCCATCTCTGCCCATGTGCGTGAGCTGCTGGGGACCTCAGAGCCACTGTGGAGCCGCAGCATCGCAGACCCCCCCAGAGACAGCATGGGCCTGTTCCTGGAGAAGAAGAGCAGGACAGGGGACTGGGCCGACTCCTTCACCCACACACAGTTCCTCGACAGGAAACAGTGAATGGAATCTGGCCGTCTGATAAAAGAAACATGTGAATGAATGAGCTGTCTGTCAGTGTGTTGTTTGTAAGATAACGGTAGTTGTGAATGATGAGACAATAATGTTCCAATCAATTACAGATGTTGAGACACTATGTCAATACAGTGTTTTGGAAGGCACTTTGTGATTAAATTGGTGTTCTGGAGTATGCGTTTAGTTTTTCGGATTATTTCATTGCTGGTGCAGTGAAGGGCTTGGAACTATGACCCTGTAGTTAGCGCACTACCTCCTGTGCCAATAGGGTCTAGACCTCCTGACATAGTGTGCATAAAAACAGATAAATATCCTAAGCCAAGGGCCCTTAAGGCTATGTTCCACTTATGCATGGACCAACAGAGTATGAAGGTTTATTGAATGAAATGAACACTCCATTGGTCCATGAACAGTTGGGACACAGTTGCCTCATTACAATGTCCTTTATTGATTTACTAGGTAATGCAAGGTAAAACAACAGGATGTTGTTTTCTGCATTCTAAAAGATTGTATTAGACGGGAAAACTGAAAAGGCTCTTGAAATTACCACAGATCCCTTCATTCCAACACCTTGGGCACAAGCTGTCTCTATTGATCTGAACCGTGCATGTACACAGTGGCTGAATGAGGCTTTATTGATCCGCAGTAGAGATCCTCAGTGTAGTGCTGTATTAGATGAAACCCAACACTTTGTGTATTATGAATTGCTGTGGTAAGAGGCAGGAAAGTCTTTGTTCTGAGGAGGAGTCTGATGGTATTTCCTGTTAAGAGAACGCACTCAGAGAACACCTGTGTTAAGTGCATGTTCAATGTGAAGAAGTGCAGAAGATGATAAGATGACCTCAGAGGTATCACTCCCGGTCATCTTCATCACGCCACAATACCATGTTAGCCACATTAGCTCAGGTAGCTAACGCAAGTCTTCAGGTCTCAAGCAAGATTGTAAATCACCGAAGCACAGCAGCAATAGCCTGGGGCTAGCCCAATGCTTTAGCCTGAGGAGAGGGTGCCAGAGGCAGGGCAGGGAGTGCCAAGGCGGTTATAGCCAACCTGTCATTTTCTTGCCAAACACCCTTGTTAGGCATGAGAAGGATGTTGCCTTGTATAATGCAGAAATAGTCAGGTTGGTATGCTATCTGGGAGTCTCTTGAAATATGCTGAAATTAGCATATAGTATAAGGCTGTTCTTCAATTTGCCAGTAGATGATACACATTGTAAGGACATTATATATATATAGGGTCTTAACCACAGGTGCCAAGGCTACTTTTTTGGTTATTTGTGTGCTTTATTTGTTTGCAGAGCTGCAGCAGATCTATTCTTATTATGCACCAATTAAATTGTGTTTGTATGTCATTCACTGCATCAAATCATTGAGCTTAATTGGCTTAGTGCTTGCTCATAAATGTGGTGAGCTCATAATCATTTATGATGATAAATAAGATGGTGATTAATATTTATATTTGCATACTATAAGGATACTGCATTGTCAGATGTGCAGTTGAGGCTGACTAAATTAATTAATCAATAAACTACAGTTGTAAGATTGTGCTGGGAGGCATTGCATATGTCTGGATAAATGGACAAATGGCCCCTAGTGCTGGGGGCACCATCTATTACCATTCCAAGCACAGCACCTCTGGTCACCCGCGAAATGGAGCTGGCTCGGTGGCAGGGAAAGGTTGACAGTAGTCCACGACTTGTGTGACGCCCAGACCGGAGGACACAGTGGATCTGGCTGGGTGTCAGTCTGAATTAGGTCGCGTTGAGCCAGCATATCACCGGCGGACCTGCTGAGAAAAAGCGATGCGAACATCTGGCTGCTGTAACGCGATCCGAATTCAGCACCAGCCGTCAGTAGACGGCGCCGAATAGATAGCTGCCTGTCTTTTCAAAGGCGTTTTCTCTGCTAAACGGTGCATGCGGCCGGAATGCGCAGAGGCAAGCCACTGTGTCGAAGCTGGAAAGCTGTAGATAGGCAACTTCCAGTGAGCATTTTCCACGAAGATAAACCTGGGAAGGAAGGCGTTGGAATGTTGCTTTCTATGCTGGTCATGGATTTCTTGAAGGGCATCGGTGGTTTCGAAGGCCACTGTCACAGACTACTGTAGGATCCAGCGCACATTTTTTGGGTCCTGAGTCGGCTCAAGGAACCCCCATTTACATTACACAGAATTCTGTCAAAATGCTTTGGCGCTCATAACAGCTTTTGAGGAAGAATTTACGCAGTACTAACCTAGATCGAACAGGGCTGATGTTCCGTCTTCAAGGTAAACTTTAACCTATATTTTATAGCCTGCCATACATTAAACGTTAGTCTATGCATCACATTGCTGTTGAACTCTTTTGGGGAATCGCATTTGAAGAAATTGCATGGGCAGCAGCGGTACGGTTTTTAGTGCAATTAAGCTCCCATCCTCATTGCCTCTCTCACGCTGGAGTAGGCTATGTGAAAAGGTGAGGAATCTCCTAAATAGTATGGTTGAAAAGCTATAACACCGCAAGGTCAAAAATTACCATCATATGATGAGAAATGCGCGGACAGATTAAATGTGTATTTATAGAACCCCCTTGCTTGCATGTTGAGGTTTTTCTTTTCTTTTTGTAGGTGAAACTGAGAATCATGTAATATGCCCATTATCGTCTTGTCCATTTACAGATGTATGGTGGATCACATCAGATTGAATTAAGATATGAAATGACTGCGCTCGTGCTCGGGCATGATAGGAGTTCTTATCAGTCTAACCAAGATAACTTGCAGAGTGCTAAGAGAGAAGGAAATATGACCACGGTTAATTAAAGCCATAAACGTCCCTTACTGAAATGCAAATTAGGCATTCTTCATTCACTTGTTATGTTCTTGTATAGTATATAATAAAACAGCATGGATTGACTAAAGCAGCCAAATGAACGACTGGACAAGGTATAGGTTAGTAAAACAGATTTATGTTTATACAGGTCTCTGATATGTGAATATGTGACCCTAATGAGTTATAAACGTGTTTCTTATTTTTGTGTCGGTGTTGGTTATCGTCTATCTTATTATTCATGGGAGCCTGAGAGGCACCATTGTGACTGGCACACCACATCCCCTGTATGCCTAATTTCACAGTTTCTGTTTGCTGACCGCTACAAAGGCTACAACTTCATCTCTGACCACTTTCTATATTCAATATCACACATGAACAATATTCATCACCACATAGCCTTCCCATTGAAGACGATGCTTATGTATTTCACTAACAAAGTCTAAAAAGAGAGAGATGTGCATAGAAAGTAGGATCGTTCCTTCCACCACCAACCCATAAAAGGAGCTGTGGCTTGGGTTTAAGCAGAATGAGCAAATCGACCAAACTTACATTGCCTACGTCACAGTAGCTTTGCTGAAAGCACAACATATTCAATAGGAAAGGAAACAGTTGGCCTATTGATTATTTGGCCCATAGGATTGGATGTATTTGCCAGGAGAAATAAGCCATTCTCTCTAAAAGTTGAAAAACAACAGATGTATTTTTGGATCTACAGGCCAAAGGGAAAAGGAAGGCTCACACCTAAATGAAGATTCAAAAAGCAGTTCTATTGATACAGAGGGGCCTGTTCACTCAGCATGCTAAGATGCCCCTCTTCATGGTGAAACTGAACCAGCAACACCGCAGACCTCACAGCCCTTTGGGATCTCATCCACTAGAGAACGTAGCTGGCAGCTCATTATATCCAGGGTTTAGCTCACTTCAGCCAGGTTACTTGTCTTATATTAATGGGAGGATAATGGAAGGTATGAAGCATTATTTTATGCCTCCGTGTCTGACGGTGTGTGTGTATGTGTGTGTTTGAGAGAGAGAGACCTATAAGATCAGTTTGATTTAGTCATCGCATTCATTCAGCCACCCTAAATGTAATTGACTTTTTCCTCCATCATTCAGAAATCAATAAAGTATGACCACAATGGCAAACAAAACACCAGCAGTTATCTATGGACAGGACCAGAACCCTAGACTACATACGTGGTTTAAGGAGTTAGTGAGGTGACTTTGGTCAACTCTGATTTCATCTCTGGATAACTGGTACCACGAAAGTGGCTCACCTTTTAGCCAGGTACATTTCTATGGTTCTATGGCAACGAATCCTTCAGAACTAACCTGCTCCTGGACAGGCTAACACAGGGCTAGCTTCATTTATCCTGAATGAAGTGTCTGAGCTACGAGTTGAGGACACTGAGGTATAATAACAACTAGAGACTGGCTCCAAGTTGGCCGACCTTTGTTTTCAACGTAATCTACTCACCTTCGCATATGCCGTTTCGTGGTTGCTGCCATCTTTCTTACTGGAATTACTCTGCCTTCACACTAGCACTTAGTGCACACTGGACAGACAGCAGTATCGCGCTGGGGGGGGCTGGTGCATTGATAAGCACACCAAAGATGCCATTAATGATAAGTAATAAAAGAAAGACGGCACTTCTAAAAGCCTATTTCACACCTAGTTGCTGAATTTGCAAGATAACTTTTCTCTCATTTTGATTTCGGCACAAATAAAAAAAAATGTGGCACTGACTCTCCCCTGGATTGACGTTTCAGCATTGTTTAAATGAAGAGTTGGGTTCGACTAGCTACGTACGACCTGCACACGCAGTTGCAAGGCTGCTAGAGATAGCGGCAGGCGGACAAGCAATATCCACCATCGTAGTACGGATGAAGCCTGAGCTGGAATGTGAAGATAACTGAAGCTGGCAAGCTTTATAAAACCCTGAGTAGATCTAGCTTCAATCATAGTATACCTCTCTGCCTAGTAGCATTGGAATCCAATAGGTCAATAAAAGACAATAGACAATAGTACTGGCTCTATGCAGCATTGGGTTGTCTGAGAATGAACCTTTAAATACATGCCACCCCAAAGTGCCGTTTTGGTGTTGCCATGGTATCAAGGATGTCACCCAAGAGCTGCCAACATTAATCGCGTTGGCATTAAGGTTGGCAGACTCACTGATGTAAATTGGTATTTCAACAAACACACACTCTCTGTTTCACACACCTACAGGCACACACACTCTCTCTCTCTCTCTCTCTCTCTCTCTCTCTCTCACTCGCACACACACACACACACAAGCACACAGGCACACGCGCACACTCACAAGCACACAGGATGATGTGTTCAGGTCTGACCTACTTAAACCATTTAACCTCAACCTGACTGTCTAATTAAGGAATGTT